GGTGGGGTGGGGTGGGGGCGGATGCGGTTGGGAGTGAATTGAGGCGGAAAAATTGAGCCGCCGCACGAACGCTGAATATTTCCATTACGCGCCCGGAAGTCGCAACAATGTCCAACTCTCTCCAGATTATTATTTTAATTATGATTAAACTTACAAACCAAAGCTAAATAGCTAAAGGTGCAATTAAAACTTTTATCATCATAGAGCAACGCAAAAACAATACATTAATGTGGACGGACACTAATGAATTACCAAAGGTGCTCAGAAAGTAAAAGTTCTAAATTACATTTCTAATAAATATTGACAGTTTTCAAGCTATTCATATTCTACTAGAAGGCAAAGAGAACTCAGTTTTCAGTAATTTGAATAACAGGTGGAATTCTTGTGTTTCATGCTCCTGTTTAGCACCCCATCCTACAAACGTTTGACGAAACAGATCTGTGTTGGCCAATTTCAAGGGCTCTCATTGCTCGCCTTTTATTCGAAAGCGAGACCCATCTAGCATGTAACATTTCCTTCTCTTCCTTTTGAAACTAGTAACCTCAATTTAAAATAATTTTCAATTTATCAATCTGGGAAACTTATGACTTTGTATTTTTTTTTCATTCAAAAACAATCGCAACTTAAAAACATCTAGCACAAAACCTGGTCATCGTGACTCTCCGTCCGTCGGGCTACGACCCGAATTTAACTTTTGTGTGTGTGTATGTGTGCTGGGGTCGCGTCAAGCCAGCTCACACCCGTTTTCGCCATACAAAAAAACGTGGCTATTAATTCCAAATCGTGGCAACTAATTAGCAAGTAAATAGCAATAAATTGCTTGACGCGTTTCATTTCGGTATGCTGACAAGACTGTCCCAGCTTGTCTAACCTTTGAGCGCAGGCCAGCGCCAAGTGCGCCGCCCGCGTGCCGCCGGCCTGGGCGACACGGGCCCTGCAGAGCGGGCTGGGGCGGGCCACGGCGCCTGCAGCACGCCGGCCCTTCTATTCTTAGCCGCGCACGGCGCAGCGCAGGGCAAGGCAAGGCGGGGCGGGGCGCGGGGGCAGGGGCAGGGAGGCGCGGGGACTTGGCTGGCGGGGCGGGGCGTCGTTAGTCAGCGGTGACAAGTGCACTCGGCCCACGCGGCCCGTTGCGTCGGGGACGACCTGGTCGATTGCTCGTCTCGAATCGCCTCGACAGCTGCACGGGTTTCGGCTTCGCATCGATTGCGCGGGGGGGAGGGGGAGGGGCTCGCTATTGAAAGCCATTTCTGCTCGCCTCAAAGCGACGCCGGGAGATTTATTCGCGCCAACGCGTCGGGAGAAGGCTGCGTGAGTGTTCATTCGTGGATACTACACGCCTTCGAAACATCTGATTCTGTTAGGCCTACATCAACATATCGCCAAAATGGTTGCTGTTCCTACAACGAAGAAAAAAATAAAAATAACACATATTTTGCGGGAGACGTTTTTAAAATTTGATGTTGGTCAATGGAAAGAAATCTATACAACGTCCAATGTAACTGCTCTCTCGCAATAAATCACCAAAGTACGTTTACGTCTTTCTACCAGTAAATTTATTATTGCAAAGCTTAAAGTTATACCACCTTAGTAGTACGCAAGTGATATATTTACTAGCATTCTCTACAACTCTTTGTTTCCAAGTACTGACTCGGTTCATCTTTTTCAGAACGGCATTTATTAGGAACATGAACACAAACATGTCAATGGTCGTATATTAATTATCGTATACCCATGTTTAGTCATTGTCGAGATAACTTTCCTTTTATTTTAAGAATAACGGTTAATAAGTGAGCAGTACCATTAAGGCAAATTCTGATTTAATTTGTTGTTTACTTACAAGTAACAAAAAGTAAAGTAGCAAACTAATCTACTTGACCGTTACTTAGTCTCTCCCTTCATCTCTATTGTCATTCCACGCTTTTGGAATGTTATTTAGGGACATCAAATAAATCCAGAATACCCTGTTCAGAAATAATGGTTATTGAACGGATTGAATATAACACTTAAAAATATCCCCTTTCAGGCAATGAAGACAAGGTATATATTTTGATCTGCATCTGGGCTATTCCGTGTAACAATCGCATGATTGATTCTCGTAATGGTACGATACACATGCAGATTTAAGCTATCACAAACTTAAATATTTCGCAGATTAATGAATATCGGATGCATAAAGTTTATTGATACTAGGCTTGTCCACGTTTGGGAAATGTATTTAATCATCGTCAGTCCTTGTTAATATATTGTAACTACAAGCATCAAAGTCTGCAACGACACGTTCTAGTTTTTGCTTTACCATCATAACTGCTATATTCTTCGAAATATTTACATTTTTTGGCCTTTAAATCATTTATTATTTCAAGAACTTATGTGGCCTGTACGCCAGGTAGTCTAACCTTCAGGCGCTGCCAGCACCATAGTCTCGATTTCGAGGGCCTTACGTTCATCTGAAACGGCAAATGGCATGGTATGCAATTCCTACTCCGCGTTGTCGAGTTATTTCAGTCCTGTAGGTTGTTCAACGAAAACGATGGAACCATCGTCTTCAATTGCTTTCTTTCCGGAATGGCATCCCGGGCTGATAGACGACGCCAGCCGCTGAATCCCAGTGGAAATACACACGACAGCGCATTCGCGTGTCGAAGATCGCCGGCCTGTGATAGCGATGTATCGATATAAATGGAGGGAGAAAATGACACATGCTCATGTAACCACACTATTCTGAAACGCGGGGACTTTCTATAAATCACTCATTCGTCTCTTTATAGTTGTTTGTGTGTTCTTCTGCCGTCACGTCATTTGTAAAAACTTGACTCGATTCCATTTTTCCTCGTCTCTATTTCTAGTCTTTGTTTCATCACGCGATGGTTCCCAACAGTTTCGAAAATACATAGATAATTACGATGCAAGTACTTGTGAACAAAAACTGAGAACGCCTAATTGAAAACTCTTCCTTCTGACCATGAACTCGTTGCATATGCGTTTTTCGTGAACACAGAAATAGGATATCCTCAAGTTATCATTATCCACTGTGCGTTTTAAAGAAATCATTTATATCTAGAAACCAAATGTTAATGACGCTCTGCTACTCATAGGTAAAGTATGAAATAAATTGCACACAAAATCAGAAAATACATGTAATAATAACTAAACACCTATATTTAGAAACTTGTGTAAGAAAAGTTAAATTTATGTCAGGAACGCAAGTGCTATTGCACTTACGAAACTGAACTAAATTCTCTTATCTTATCAACTTTATATGCATAATAGAAAAGTTGTAAAGTGTATTCATTATCCGCCGTAGCGTCTCGTTTTAGAAAAAAACAACAACTCCAGAGCGCCGCGGTGAAAATTGAACACGCAATTTATCATGTCAAAACTCGTGCATGGAAGCCACTTTCACACGCATACAACATAGTTCTGGGATAGAAAACTTGTAAGGTGCAAACGTAGCACGTTTTCAGGACTCAACTTGTACCTACGCGCACGCGCGCGCGCGCGTGTGTAGGTCATGGCTCGGTAAGGGCCTGTGTTCAAGCACGTATCTACGAGCACGTCAAATGCGCAAAGCAAACTTTTCCGACCATCGCCCCCTTTTCGCCATCACTTTCCCAACGGCCCTGAAGGCTACTGCTCAGGAGCGGAAATAGCAAGCATAACTTCAGTTCCAGCCCCCCATAAATATTTTTGAAACAATGTTTTTTAAATTGTTTTCATGAAATATGAAAAAAAAGTGCGATAATATTCATTGAAGGAATGTTGCTTTGGAAGCGGTGAAACATAAACGGGGCAATTACGTCTTGGAGGCGTTTGCACTGAGCGCGTCGTGGTTTCTTGCGCTGCAGCAGGCGGTGCTGCCCCGGCCGGCGGCGGCGGCGGCCGCGGAGGAGGAGGAGGAGGAGGGCGGCGGCCTGGACGCGCGGGCGCTGGAGGCCGAGATGGAGGCGCGGCGGCGGCGCGTGCGGAGGGTGTGCGCCGAGCGCGGCCTGCAGCGCGAGGGGGAGCCCAACGCCTGGGAGTTCTTCATCGACTCGCGCCACAGCCTCGTCTGGTGCAACGTCTTCAAGGCGGCCAGCACCGCCTGGCTCTACAACTTCAACCTGCTGGGTGAGCGCGCCTGCTCCGCCTCCCTACCTCCAAACCCTACCCTCTTCCCTTCCTTCCTTTCATTTCGAATTTGATCCACCACGTCTTGCCGCCGCCCCCTTTCATTCATGCTTTCTTTCTTTCTTTGGTTCTCGAAGGGTTATTCTACAAAAGGAATCCAGGAGAGTTTGGAGTATAAGTCACGCTAAAACGAAAACTTCCAATTTTTTCATCGCGTCTTCTTTCATTCCTCTCGTTGCTTTAAAGTTACTCTTTATACATACAAAGTCACTGGACCTTCTGTATACTTCTATGATACGAGAAACATTTCAAATGAACAATAATTTGCAATTGCTTGCATCTATGAATGATACGATGGAAATGAAGATGTTAACAGTTTCACTTCCAGTGTCAAATTTAAAATTAAATTAACCCAAATCAATAAAGCTATAAAGCAACCGTTATGGATAAGCGACATAATTAAATTAAAATATATTTGGAAGCGACGAATATAAATAAAATTTGACAGAAAAGCGGGTATCACTCGATACGATTCTCATAATACTCGTATCGCTAGGCATCAAAAAGCGAAATCGGATCAGACATTGAAATGAGCCCGGCAACTGACAGCGAGACAAACAGTCAGCGCCCCGCCCACGGCGCGAATTAATCCCGAGAGAGCGAGACAGGCTCTTCGCAACCGGGATCGAAAAACCGGCGCGGTCTCGTCGGCCGCCGACCGCACGGGGGGAGGGGCCGGGAGGGGATCATCTCGCGCCAGATTAGCGCTCGCGCCAACACGCGAAGCCCACGCGCCAGTTGGCGCCGACGCGCTGTCCGTCCCGCGGAAATCGATGGACGGCGCCCTTCGGAGCCAACTCGGCAGCGGGGGCGTCCCTCACCCCAAAAGGCCAAGAGTTATTTTTGTTCACCTTCCTTTATTTGGCAAAATTTATTTAAATAGTTATTGATGTTCGAATTATGTAATTATTTAAACAATACTATTAAATAGTATTATATCTACAGTACAAAAATAATGTACAACATATATGTTCATTTAACAAAAATCTACGATCCCCCCCCCCCCAAAAAAAAAGATCGGCTGGATTCGCCCCCTACTCTCGAGAAGAGGAAGTGATTTTATAAAAAAAAAAAAATACCTATACAGACATACAGGAAGGGTGAACTCAATGTGCCATATATGTAACAAATACAATGTCCCTATCCTTCAATAAATCGGCATTCCTTCGAGAAATCTTCCAAAATGAAAAGAAAAGAGTTGCACTACCATAGATACATAGCCAGTCTGGAGAGATATTGGCTTATTTCCGCTGTGTTGTAAGATTTTAAAGAAATAAAAATTTCGAATGCAAATAAATTGTTATTGAGTGTGGTACGAACGCATTGAAGAGTAATGCGATGGCTGCGGAAAGCGAGTTAGGAAAACCGCAAAGAATTCGCAGTATGAAGAAAAAACATACGCGATTTTTTCACCAACCACATTGAAGCCTACGATGATGTACGTTTTTATTATTCGCTACTGGTTCTCTCAAAATTTATACACGATACAGAACCGAGCAGCGTTTTTAGTAGATTTTCGTCCCTTTTACCTCCTCTCAAACGTAGTTCAATTTTATGCCCAATTTTTTTCTATTTATTCTCCTCCTCTCTGTCAGAGACTGGCATTCACTTTTCTGTTACTATTTAATTTATACGGAGACAAATTAAGTGCAATATCGACAATAATACTATCAATGATTAAATGACGCATCGCGTACATTTTCATTGTTCTTCGGAAAATCGTCATGAAATAAAACGGTACGAAATACCAACTTCTGCCGTTTTGTTCCTTTATCATGGAGATGTGGCAAAAATCACATCTGCCATAAAATCCATTTATCTTTGGTGTCACAAACGATACTGTTACAGTTTCCCTTTCAAATTAAATAATGAACTAATGAAGCATTACAGAACACCATTGTCCACATTTTCATAATGCATTTCATTGGAGATAACCGATAAAGTGAAAATATGTTAATAACTGTAATACATCACGTAGCACGAAAACAAGGGAATAATAAATGCAGTTTGACACGAAAAGAGAGGAAGGCTCTGGCCTACTTCGTCGAGTGTGTTCGAATCACAACAGAAGCAACTTCCTCACTTTGATCATCTCTAATCTCGATATTCCCAAAACTACATATTTTCTTTGTACTACATCTTTTGGAACATAGTGGATTCATAACAGAACACTACTTAACAATTTTCCATCCTGACCCCCCTCTAATTTGGATACTTTTTCGCGTTACCCGAGTACCGTAACTAACAGAAGTGTCACGATGTTCATATGTTAGATACAATAGCTCCCAAAAAAGTACAGACGAACTTACAATGGAAGACAAATACTATTATTCTGGAAAGAGGCGAGCTTTGCCATGCAATTTCAAAACCGCTTCTCTCCTCAAGGCACGAGGAAAAACGACGCAACCCACGGGCAAGAGCGTGTTGAACAAATGTTCGAGCCACATAGGCCATTATTTATGTACGTCCGCTTAAAATACGACACATTTACTTCCACATTCACGAAAAATAAGTATTGTGCAAATGAAATTCATTTAAAACCCCAATAAACAAGCCAAATAAGATTAAATTACAGCATATTCATTAACTCATTTAAAACTGCTTATTGTTCGCATCTCAGAAAACGGAAAAGTACGCAAATTAAGCCTTTATTACACCACAATAATTTCCAATAGAATACTATTAGATAGTATGTTGATTACAGAGGTAGATTTGTGCCAATTAAATATTTTAATAAAACGAACTCAGAGAATCAAAAGACATTTCATAACGTACCGGCTGCAGCTCGAGGACATCCCTTGTATCCGTGAGGACTTCCAAGCCAACTTATTCGCCGATAAATATAATGTCAGCGATCAATATCAGACTTAATTTTGTTTCACATTACCCCTCAATAATACTATCCAGGCACAAGCAAAATCAGCCCGGATTCAGTTCACCAGCCATTGCCATGAACACAGAACTACAAACCGGACGCCGAACCGAACCTACGTGCAGTACTGACTTCCTAGAGCTACAAACTGAGGACGCTAGAGACTGCAAGGCAGGGCACGAAAACCGCCGGGTCACGTTCGTCTTGTGCACTACCGACACGGTCTTCAACAGGACGCAGATCAACAGGATGAGACAGGATGGTGGTAGGGGGTGAATCGTGATGAATTATTTGGATAGGATGGGAGAGAAAAGCGTCAGACGGGCGGGAAGAAATGGAGCCGACAACACAAAAAGATAAAAGGGGGAGATGGATTGGAACGAGATTCAATGACGTTAGGAACGGATATGATGGAATGGAATGGGAGCGGTGGGGATTGAATAGGATAGGATAGGATAGGGTGTGATCAAAGGGGATTGAAAGGGGGTCCAGTTGTGTAAGATGGTGAAATGGGAGCAAAAGGATGGAACGGTGTGGGATGGAAACATCGAAATAGGACCATTCAAGTTAGAATGGGAACGGATGAAAAGTGCGAAGTATCAGCAAACGGGCTGTAATTAAACGCGCTTCCGCTTTCTTATTCTCTCCCCGGCAAGGAAGCAATGGAAAAGGCTCGGTGGTGGATGGAAATCGACTTAGGAGCGGTTCGCTACTGGAACTTGGGGCAGTTGAAGTCGAGGAGGAGATGAACGGGTGAGACGAACGCGATGCGCCTACTCTCTCTTTAGCTTCTTTCTCTTCCGCCTCAGGAAAACAGGAGGAGATGGAGATACGAACAGCTGGTGGAACGGGGGCGAAAGAGGTTGCGGTCGTTGGGGAAAGTCGGATGAGAGGAGTTGATACATAAATACAGACGCTGGTGGGGTTGAACGAAGCGGCGTGGAGCTAGGTTTGGATCGAATGTGGGTACACGGAAGGAAGTATAACCGACGCTTCTTCCTCCGAAGCGAAAATGGAGGACATGGAGGTCAATACCTCATGAAACAAATTTCCTACATTTTCCTCGGTTTTCCAGAGCATTTTAAAAATTGTTCACTGATAAGATATATAGACTATTTCACACTATTTAAATGAAATATTAAAGCGTGACACTAATATGTAAACTCTCTGATTTTGCAATGATAAATTAAAAAAAGCTCAACACGTAGCAACTGATAAAAATAATGCTGTACTATTTTTTATTAATTATATACAGATTTATACCCAACTCAAAATTTTCCCTGACTTGTAATGATTTTTCCACAAATATCCTGATATTTTCCAGATATTTACAGATCAGTGAAACTTCCCGATTTTCCACGCTTTCCCAGAAAGATGACAACCTGTACAAACATGGAGTGTCGGACTACAGTACCGGCAGCGTATAAGCGTCTCTGACAGTTCTCTCGCCACGTGCTGTGTTACGTCCTGTGACCTGCTCTGCTTGCGAGGATTTTTTTACTTTCCCATTGTCAGGGTTGAGCGTTGCCGCTCATCTGACTCACAAGAAGTCACGGAGGCAATAAGGCTCGACTTCGGCGAAAGTTATGAACACGATATTCCAAACGTTTCGCCGCCTGCCAGTTGGTGTTAATGTTTCGAGATTTCATTTATCTGTCATGCAAGTGGTGCTACGTGCATAGTAATGTTTGGGAACAGCGCATTGAAGAGCCAGAGTCGCTTATACTAGGATTAATTTAACCGTGCACTTGACGTAAATCAGCTGCTCACGATTTCGTCCAATCGGGAGCTTGAACGTCCCCATAGTGACGTCAGTGCAGCGACATGTAGTAAGCTCCCGATGGGATGAAACCGCAGCAGCTGATTTACGTCAAGTACACTATTATGATCGCTGCCGATACTGTCGGTGCGGTCCGCGTCGGGGCCGGGGTGTGCAGGCGGGTGGCAACGCCATTTTCCCCCGCTCTTGTCCGCAGCGGGCTACTCGGAGAGCTTCCTGCGGCGCTCGCTCAAGATGCCGCTGGTGCTGGCCCGCGCGCGCTACCCGCGCCCCACGCCGCAGCAGCTGCGCGCCGCGCTGCCCGACTCGCTCTCCTTCCTCATCGTGCGCGACCCCTTCGAGCGCCTGCTCTCGGCCTACCGCAACAAGTTCGAGGGGCTGCGCAACCGCTTCTACCGGAAGCTGGGGCGTGAGATCTCGTCGCGGCAGCCCCGGCGCGCCTCGCCGCCCCCGGCCCCGCCGGCGCCGCACCCCAACGCCGTGGACTCCTCGGGCGACGCGCCCGACCCGCGCCTGCCCGGCCCCACCTTCGAGCAGTTCGTCGACCACGTCATCGCCACGGGCCTGCGCGCGCACAAGCCCAAGTTCGACGAGCACTGGGCGCCCTACTACCGCTTCTGCACGCCCTGCCACGTCAACTTCACCGTCATCGCCAAGGTACTCGACCCCCCCCCTGCACACGTTTCGAACGACCCGTTTCACCCGCCGTTGCAAAAAGCAACTTCCCACTCAACTAGTCACGTCTTTTCCATCACACCATCGTCATCACCACCGACAATGTATCCCTCACTACCCGCGCCTTCCACAATACGTTTCAAAAGTAGACCGATCTCACATGAACGCAAACGTACCCCCTTACGAGTCACGTCTTTTCCATCGCACGAGTCAAACGATGCGTTCACCCGTCATTGCGAAGGAACGCTGATGGTGGGAGATCTATACTAAACGCCACTGCATCGCTTGTCCGAAAACTTCAATTAAAACCAATGCTCTCCCATCAAACGCGGTACTCGGGAGCGCTGCAAAGCGGTGCCTTTGCAAGGTGCTGTAACAATGTGTACACACGAGGAGACGCGAGGGCGAGAGCGAATAGTAAAGCGGCTCCACACACTCGGTATTCCGCCAGTAGCGAGCGACTGTTCGCCGAATCCCAACAACTAGTGTGAATGTGTCGCTCGCTATTCCCCGGTGCTCGCCCTACCCTCCGCGTATCGGTCTTTGGCATACGTCAAAAGGAAACTAGCATTCTCCCAGTTACGTCAGCTACCGCGCGTTGGGCGAGCGAACGCTCACTACTCGCCGCCCGTGTGGAGCCACCTGTACACACACACACACACACACACACACACACACACACACACACACACACACACACACACACACACTGCTAGCCCCGGCTATTTTATTAATTTTTGTTGTTGTTGCCTCGAGCACAGCCAGTAAGTGGCGTTCGGTGCGCAGGTGGAGACGCTGTCGCGCGACGAGGAGTACATCATCGACCGCGCGGGGCTGCGGGGCGCGCTGCTGGCGGCGGCGCGGCGGCGCGAGCGCCCGCGCAAGGTCACCAACCGCGCGCGCGGCGCCAAGGCCACCGCCGACCTCGTGGCGCGCTACTACGCCACGCTCACGCGCGGCCAGCTGCGCGACCTCTACCGCATCTACGGCACCGACTTCGACCTCTTCGGCTACAACGCCTCCAAGTACTTCGACCTGGCGCGCCCCGACGCCTAGCCCCGGCCCCGCGAGACCTGCGTCTGGACGGAGCGTGCGCCGACAACGGACGCGGTGTGAGCGCCGTCTGTGCAGCGACAACGCACGTCGTGTGAGCAACGTCTGTGCAGCGACAACGCACGTCGTGTGAGCACCGCCTGTGCAGCGACAACGCACGTCGTGTGAGCACCGCCTGTGTTACTCGGTGCTGTTCAGCTTTGGCGCACGACGTGTGAGCTCTGTCTGTGCAACGCAGCGTGTGTGAGCACTGTTCTGTGCAGCGACAACCCACGTCATGTGAGCACCGTCAGTATTACTCGGCGCTGTTCAGCGTTAGCGCACGACGTTTGAGCTCTGTCTGTGCAACGCAGCGTTTGCGAGCACCGTCCTTGCAACGTACGTCGTGTGAGCTCTGTCTGTGAACGCACGGTGTGAGCACCGTCCTTGCAACGCACGTCGTGTGAGCACCGTCTGTGCAACGCAGCGTGCAGTGTCAAACAAGATCGAAACCAATGGCCAGGCCCTTCTTGTCTTCAATGTGTCGACTGCACATTGACCAACTCCTCTCCGAGTGGCGTATGCGCGTCTCTATTCAGCGCCAACGAAAGTCGAGGCAGCTTCCCCTTCTTCAACGCATCACTCGGGATACGACCAACTCCGCTCCGAGTGTTGTGTGTGTTCCCACCCTTAGCGCAGTCTCGAAGTTTTATTAAGAATTAATTTTATTATTTGGTAATTACGATATTCTTTCATCCTTTCGTTCTCTATAAACGCACTGAAAAGTCAATGCCCAAATACGTTGCGGTGCGTCACGCGCGGTCTCCCAAGAAATTGTGTGCTGAGTCAAACATGTCACACCATTTGTTCTAATTTCAATTGTTTTGAGAGTTGGTGAGTTGGCTGCTTTGAGAGTACTGAACAAACATTAACCTTTATAATTGTTTGGAAGGGGGAGGGGGTAGCGACAGATCTGCAGATAGAGCATTTCATAGCCCTCAACAAGCCAGTTAAATGCCGAAGGGTTGTGCTCGCAAGTAAGAACCTGGCAGAAAGAACGCAACATTAGATCGCCGTGTAGGTACCACGATCCGCATCTCTGCGTGCACGGAAGGAGAAATCTCCAGCAATAGCCGTCACGATGCTAATGTCTCTGCCCAACGGATGACGGAAGCAAACATTGTGAGGAAGAGGACTCACTCTCTCTCTCTCTCTCTCTCTCATTTTTTAAACTAGATAAGGAATAATTTAAGAGCTGGAAGGTTCCTGTGCCTGACGCCTGTGAAAATCATGGTGTGTTGACACTACTCTCAAATAAGTACAGTGATGTTTACTTGATTGTGGAAACTATTATAGTGAATTGATGAGGGCGACTTTGAAGATACAACAAAAAATAAAAATAAACTAAAGCATCAAAGAAGCCAAGAATTGTTGATCCCAAGTTCAAGTGGTGTGCAAGTAGTTCACAACAATTCAAAAACATGTCTTAAGTGCAAAAACCATACCCTGGCTTACGAACAACAGTAATACTGTAATAATTACTGCCTAGCATTCAATTGTAATAATTTTCCACCTTCAACACAAAAACCTATCAACTTGGAGAACCCACATGTTCCATACATGGTTGATATTTAATGAAATACGGGCTACTGACATCTTCCTCTTTACACAATTTTCAGTCAACTCGAAAGAAACTTGATTAAAGCCAGCAGCCCCATGTAGTATAGCAGAACACATTACAAATGGTGAATAAATAAAAAACACTAAAGGAACTGGTGGTTATATCCCACCATTTTTAAATACGAAGATTAATAACACGTAATTGAAAGATTAGAAAAAAGAATAGGAAAGAATAAGTTTATGAATTATCCATGCCATAGCACAAATAAATTGATAAATTTATTTCAAATTATATTCCAGAGGCTTTTGCATAAAATGGAAAGCCATGCACAGATCACAAGAAAACTACAAGCTCAATTTGTGTATGGTATGTATTGGAGAAACATACTGCACATTCACATGAAATACTGACCAAACTACAATTAGCATCATAAGGGTTTCAGGTCCTTGCATAAATGTAGTCCCGATAGCAATCTTTTAGCAATATTCAGGTATAATAACTTCAAATAACTAATTATTTACCTAAAAATTAATGAAAATTTAATGCTATGAATAATCCCCCACGATAATTAACAGATGATCAGTCAAATTAATTTCTACCGACACTGACAACTTTCCAGTCAACAGTTAGAGTAAACATCTAATGAACAATTGATTATTTTTTCCCCACCCAATTAAATTTCTGACTTTGCAAGCACTCACCATCAAATCCACTGAATCAAATGACTGAGAATACTTTAATCTTTACTCCTACAAGATGAAGAAATTGCTTTTGAAATTAATGTCAAAATTCAATTGTGAAACTCAACCTGAATATTGCTTCAACTTTTCCTTCTTAAACATATTTTCCAAACTATATTCATTCTTCGAAGTGGATCACTGAAAACTTCTCAAATTCAATCAACAGTGACAAATTCAATACTATTCAATAGTAGAAACACACAAATGCATCCTTTATTGAGAAGTGTATCCCAGCTTACACAAAAACGATTGCTTGAAAACAGTGTTTAAAAAACTTTTTTGCTGCTGCGACTCCCTTCAGGTAACAAAATCAGCACATACCTCCCCTCATTAAAACTAAATTGTTAATAAGAAATAACAAGTAAATATTTTTCCAGAAAGTCATAATGTAAATTTTGTAATTATATACTTACAGTCTACAAAATAATTAATGCAAGTGATTTGCACAGTTGCCCCTATTAATTAATTAATTTAATTAATATTTGAGAAAGGAAAACTATAAAAAGCCAACATATTGATGGTACAGAAAAGTCTGCAAGATGGATCGACTTTTTGGTGTCTCACAGTTCTTAGAATCTTGGCACTAATTTAGAAATGTCAATATGCATCTCATTCTGGAGGTTCGGTTTTTATCTATATTTTTCTTGATCACTGCTATGACTGAAAATCCTTTTTCACACACATAAGAAGTGGAAAAAGGAAGCAGAACACGCAAGGGCTTTTTATTTTGGATACTGATTCTTTACAGAACACCAAAATTCGGACAGTATTGCAGGAATGAATCACGCCACTACAAAGCGAGCCATATTCTATTGCGCCAACTGCCAGAGCTCACTTAAAATAAGTGATAGTTGTCAATTTTGGTTTCATGGAAGTAAATGCAATCACATATTACACACATGTTTTCTCCTACATTTATTAAATTTAATGAAGGCACACGCACAGTCCAATAGTAATTTATTCATGTAGAAATAATTAGAGCATTATTAAGCATTAGAATATTATTTAATTAAATTGTTATGAAGTGTTCATGCCTCCCCTCTGAAACTTTCATTCCTCCCTGGGAAGGCATGCCTTGCAGTTTGAATAACTGCTTTAAAGAACAAAGTGGCTAAAAGTAACTAAGAGAAGAAGAAGAAGAAGCAGCAAGGCCAGTATTATAAGGTCAGAAATTAATTTTTAAGATACCCCTGAAATCAAAAAATACTTTGGATTTTCCAAAAAGGCAAAATTAAATTGTGTAATGTAGTTGTATGTGCAATTCACCTACAAGTACTACTTTTAGATGCACATTTTGCAAATACATTGTACCCAAGAAAGATGGAAATGTCATAGGATCAACATATTATTCAATGTTGATGTTATGCTCAACAGTCCTCCAAGTTTGGCTCATTTTCACGGCAATACAACGGTTAACTGTAATGGTATTCTCAGTATTATAGGTGTGATAAATATTGCAAAGCTTAAACTTGCAAACACTGCTATGAAACAGTTTCCAAAAAAAATAATCAATTCGATTCAAGAAAATACCTTTGCACCTAATGCAATAATTTGTTTCTAGTACTTATACTCAATATGTGATGAACCAAGATGACAGAGCAATTGTAGAAGATTCTGAATTTGAAAAGGCAAAAAAATGTTTGATAAATAATACCCCAGTTGACTCAGAAGAAAATCACACTATTTTTCTTTTCTTTTAGTATAATTCAATAAATATTTTATAACAGAAAAAGCAATGTAAATATTTGTTTGTCATTGCAATATTTCATTAATTAAAATCATTGTATGATATTATCTTTATAACAATGTTATGGATAAATGAAGAAAGAATGAAATTATTTTTGTATCCCACAAAAAGCAAATGAATGAAAGATGCCTGATTTGTTTATAGTATCTTATGTTAATTCAATTTGTGAGGTTTTCATCAACTAAGAACAATAATAAGTCCAAAATTAACAAAATTTTATATTCTTTAAAGAGTTAGAGAGCAGCCACTGTCTTTGTATTTTGTACATTTTATATTTTAAAACGTGCCACAAATTTGTAATGTAGACCTATTTTATCAAAACTATTCTGATGCTTGGAAAATGTCAGCAAGCACAACCCCAAATAATGAAACGCACATTGATAAAATGTAGTACCGTATGTATGTCACTTTACTTCAAGCACCAAGGGAACAGAATGTGATGTAAAGCACACAATAAATATGTATGTTCGAGTGAGTAAGGAGATATAACCTTATCTCTCCAATAGTAATGCGAAAACTGAAGGCAGGGTGGCTAAATGCAAGTTTCAGATTCTTTAAAATTTGAAAGAAAAGTTTTGCAAAATGAAAAGTTTATAATATTACATTTGGAATATCAAAACATGTATAAAATATGCAGAGTAAAATATGAAAAGAGAATGAATAATGCTGTTCAGAAATGGCTTGAAACTTTGTTTATCTGTTAATTGAAAATATCATTCCACTCTCATTTTCATCTTTAAATCAACAGAAATTTGAAGTTCTACCTAAAAATTCCCAGACCTGAACATTCTCTACATTTTGTAAGCATGATCATGAAATGTAAGTGGAATAGTTCTCTTTAAAGATTAAATTGTAATGGTTTGGTTTAAAATGTAGTATTTGTTAAACAAAGCATAAAATAGAATGAAAATTTCAGAAAACAAAAGACCAGAACACAATTTGCAAAAAGAAATGGCAACGCAAAGAATCTAAACAAAATTTTTAAAAAAACTTATTCTTTTAACAGCACATTTTCTAACTTGCCCTATTGTGGTGTGAATCAGAGGCCATCCCACAGTTGGCAACTCTGCCTACAGGTAACCTGCATAAACCTGTCCAGTATACAAGACTGACCTCCAAACGTAGTACCCAATTAAATTTGACAGTTAAGTCATACGCCCGTCCCCATATATTCTGCGTGGTCACCAAATTGTACCTGTCTCTAAACAGCCTGTTTGTATGTGGACTCCAGTAGCATAGCAAGTCATCATAGCTTTTGTATGTATGGGCATCATTAGTCTTATGCTGCAGAAACATACTTTTAATTTTATGTGCACTTCAATGTTTGATCCCCAAATAAAGACCAAATTAAAATTGTGATTCAGAGTGTAGGTTAAATGTCATAGAATAGGATAAAATTGTGAGTACAAAGATGTTACCATATTTTGTATGGCAGTTATAGGAATACTGAAAGCATATTCCCTGATTTTTTACACCTAATGACAATATATAAACAATAAATACACACACACCATGTTATTTCAGAAATTTAAAAAATCATCGCTACATACAGTAAACATTAAAATTCTCAATCAAAAATATTATTACCAAATATATGTTAGTATATTGTCTAGTAAAACTTTTATTTTACTGCATCTGCATGGGCAAATTTACTTCAAATGTGTAGTATGTGGAAGCTTGTAAATTTCAATTCTGATACCTTCTATGTAAGTGCAAACAACTGAATTTGAAAAAACATTGCTGAATTCAGTGTACCAAATATCAAAATTCAATAAATAATGTGTTCAATACTTTGGAATTTATTCCTAGATTTATAGTTCATATCCACTTAATACCAAAAACCACAAATTAGAATTTGACAAATTATGAAGTACTGTTTTGATATCAATACACGATAAATTTTATTTCTACACCAAAATAGATGGAAGTTGATTTACCTTCCTCAGTGTGTCCAAGGAAATGTACATGAAATGCTCTGAATATTTGTGGCAAAAATATATGTATATTTATGAACATGTTCCCACGAATTCCCAACATTAGGTATAAAAATGTATCAATAAATCTAATTTATCCCAATAATTGTAAGTGTTCTATATTAATAAAAACGTGCACTATCCTCACATCACTTTAGAACACACATCTTACTACAATTAATCAAAATCACCTGACAAATTTGATCTACAATCAAACGAAATATTGCTCTGTGAAATACTCCAGCAAACACTAACATTTCTAATTGCAGTGAAACTTGATTTATGCAGCCATTTATGCTTCTATCAAAAGTGGCCAACAAAAGGTGGTGGCTGCTTAATCAGGACAATGAAATTACAAGAAGCACGTATCAAGTTCACAAGCAAATGTAATGAGAATACTGTGGAACCGGTGACAAGTTATTATTTCGTAAAGATACCTTTTGTTAAATTCCTCTGTTGTTATCTCAAACACAAATTCCTTTGCAACTCTGGAGGTGGGGCTGCATAAAGAAATATTTACTGGAATTTACTTATTATTCTCAAAAACCAAAACAGTTCCCAGAAAAAAATGGTTTATGAAGGTGACTGCTTAATCAAGGAGGCCGATAATGCTCCATCAACATTATAATAATTGGATAAATTAATAAATGAGGTAAATTCACAAACTTTATGTCCATAATGTTCAAATTTTAAACCTCACCAAATAATAAATAAATATTGAAATGTTTAGAACACAAAATTTGGCAAAACTGTTTTCAAACAAAATTTCAAAGCTTATAAAATGTCTTCGTTATCCAGATGAGCACACACAGCATCCAATTGAAATCAATAATAACCACTTGCCCACATTAACTACAACTGCACACAAGTAAAGTGTTAAGAGGAGTCACAGAATTATTAAGCCAAATTAAGTAAACATAAACACACTTATTAAAATGACTTTTCACTTAAGTCCTCACTGACAAATCAATTTTTCGGTACACTTAACAAAACCATTTAAATTTCAGGGAATGTAAATTAAATTTTCTATCAATAATATGAAGCTCTGCTCTACATTGACTCAAATAAAATGACAGTAGGTACTTACTGGACAGGACCGTGAGCAGGAAAATGTAGTCTGAGAAGGAGATCAGCCCTGCACTGCCCAATTTATAAAAGATGCTATCTTCATCCAATGCAAGTTCCAACTTTGTGTGAACATTCTGGAAAAAGAAAATTATGTGACAACTCTGAATTCATGTTTACGCTGGGGCCAGTGAATAAATAAAAATTCACAAACTATTCTATAGAATTTGATACTGTAAGTATATCTGATATTGAAAAGAAAAAAAAGAACTGATTAATTTTCAACTTCAAAATATACCACAGTAACAACTACCATGCACCGAATGCCATGTGTTCTACAACCAGTGAAAAAAACAACAAAAAATAACATTAAACACCAATATTGAATAGTGTTCAAGAAATCTAAAACACCTTTTAAAGAATTAAAATTTGCTTCATAAAAAATTAAATTATCACAACTTCAAAGTGTCAAAAAGATCTTATAAAACATATTAATATTGTGCTTACATAAATTAACTTGAATAATAAAAAAAAAATGTTTAAAAAATGGAAAATTTAAAATGCATGCGCTATTTTTCTTCTGGTTGACAGTAAATCACTTTTATATGTGACCTCAAGTGTAACAGTGACTGCTGAGGTATGAGAAAAATGTACAGGTTTAAAATAGCCAGACATTCACACAACTCTCACACGCATGCACACATATATACATTTAAGAAACTTCTTCATCATAATGGAAGTGCTTCTTTCTATCTGTGCAAAGCTAAAATAGTCATTTCACAAATTCATTCATTATCTTCCTTAAACCATAGATTCTGTATTCATTTTTTGTTGATATCCTGAAGAAAGCATTTCTAATGTTTTAGATTCAGATCACAATTTTCTCTAATGAGGTATGATTAACACTGCCAATGAATGCAGTATCTACTTACACACACGCACACACCCTGTACAATCACTCGTTACAGTGAATTTGACAGGAATTATAGTGGAAATTATGAAAATGTTAGATCACAGTTTATAAAAGTGAGAACAACCAACATGAACTACAAGAATTCATTAAAATTTGAATATCAATAAGCAGACGAGTGTTTATAAAGTTAGGGTTATGCAAAACTTCATTTCCATGATATTCATTGAAATGTGAAGGAAAAATTTTATTCCATTATTGGTTTCAAGGAAATGTAAAATTGTCCACGTATAACTGTATGTAAAGAGTATTGTGACACATTCTTAACAATCCTTCATACTGAAATATTTGAAGGGTTCAGATGTAAAACATGGTAACCCACATGGAAACATTTACAAGATATAAACAAATGAACAGTTTTGCTGACAGGTTAAACCCAGGTTAAACAAGATGACAAGAGCCAGGGGACAATTAGTACCATAATTTGGACTATTTGAAAATCACAGCACAGGGATAGCAGATAGAAGCGTAATAAAATGCCAATGTCATAAAAACTATGACTGTGAAGCTTACCATCATTTCCTCCCAAACCCTTTATTTTATATACCATGTCACTTTACAACTGTACATTTGTTTGCACATTTTGCAATCCCAAGAAAGAATGAAAATATACGTGAAACAAGGTACTTCATCGGTTTTTACATAACCCCAACTTACAAAGGAAATAAAGCGTCAATGGATACAGAGGAAACTAGGGCATCCAATGGGTACTCACGGTGCCAACCTCATGACGCTAGCATGGCAATACAGATACAAAATATGATGTTATCTAGAGATACAACATACACACACCAGAGATAGCACCAAGCCAATGTCCTACATTCACAGATTAGACAACTCCATTATTAATGTTATCACAATTTTCTAGATTATATAAAATTACATCTAAGCAAAACATGAAAATAATATCCATTTCAGATAATTTCATGGTGCCATCTCTGTTTAATAGATCTCCAGACTGGAATGCATATTGCAGAAGCTAGTTGTTCTTTATAAACAAATACCCAGTTTGATTACGGATGAATAAAAAAAATTCTCCTCTATTAATGTTCTCCCAATAAGAGACCTTTATTAACTGCAATTTCCAAAAGGCAAATATTATTCATACAATATTTATTGTGAAGCCTTCCTGTTTCCTGTAAACTAGAGATGAAGTAAAGGGAAATTTCTTTTTCTTTTGAACATTATATCTGACTGGACTTCTCTGCTTAATGAAAAATGCACAGTTTAGCACAATAAAATATAAGTGCGTAAAAATTATGACTCAAAACACTTTTGATGAAAAATTACAAAAAGGAATTCAAAAACCTTTTAGCTCCATCTGAATGAATAAAAGGTTAAACATTTCTTCAAATTTAATTACTCAAAGGAAACAAATGGGAATCATTTAGTATAACTGTTAAAGTGTAACTTTGTGAAATAATCTGCATTCCAGCAACTGAAGAGTGTCCAAAAATGGAAATACATGAGTAAAAATGTGCTAAAAGAGTGGAGCTAAGAATTTTCTAAATTATTATTACATTTAAATTAAGGTAAATACATTTTTAATTGCTTTTTGTTCTTTTGATATTTCCAAAATTTAAGAAGCAATGAACAACTTGTCAAATGATCTAATTAATGATAAACTTTTTTAGCACAATTAAAAAAAAAAAACACAGGTGGCAAATAAGAACAAATAAGGGTGGAGATTTTGAGTAACCCAGCACAGCACCAAGCATCTAAGGGATGTTAAAATCACATGAAAGCATCAGAAAAGAAGACTTGTCTGACAACACTGCTTCCAAGCTCCCGCTGATGCTTATTCTAGGTACTAATAGGATTCATTTAAATCTAGTAGCAATGCATCTACAACAATATTTCTCAGTAATCAATCTGTCCCTACATTCAGATCAGCGTTTCTTTTCTTCTTATTATAAGACGATTAGCAATCTTACAAGTCCTTAAAATATCAGAAAGAGGAAAATCACTGAATCAATTTGAGACTTAAGACGAAAATACCTAGAGAAGATTAGATATTTTTTTAAGATTTGTGAAACGATATTTAAATGAACATTAGAAGAGAGAATCCAACAGCTTTACAGGAAGTGTTGTCTGGATGTTTAATGGAAAGCAGTTTCAATGATATTGAGAAATACTGATTTAGAGCATATATCTATAGCAAATCTTGTTAACCCTGAAGCAAGGCTTCCCAACAGACGGGATGCAATATCAATGTATTTGCAGTCACAATATTAAATAAAAAATATTCCTACTAATAAGGTTAATAAAACACGAATGGAGTAGTAAAAAACAAAAAACAAAATCTCTCTCCCTCCAAATTCAATTATTCCAGAAAACACTGAATGTATACAATATGTCTACACAATTTGTAAGACATATTCTCAGACGAATGAACTGAATTTTCATTTGGAGAGGAAATAGTGGTACATTAATAGAGATGATTAAATTCTACTTCGTGACAACTTCATGAATGAAGGTTGTAGTTTCAGTGAATAGTATTTTCTTACTGCTTGCACTGAAAATATATCTTAACATGTGCAGATATTTTAGGATACATTCCCATGTGCATTTATTCCTAAAATTCTAAAGGATTTTGGGTGAATTTTGTTTCTCTGTGATCATGCAAATGTACATCATTCCTAAATTTTTGTTTGATGACATGCCACGAAACAATTCTTGCTGAAAACTGGAGAGAGATGAAAACTAGGAAAAGGAAGAATGAATGGAAGAACAATGTTAAAAGATGCCAGAAAAACAAAAAACTTGAAAAAGGATTGATTGCACTTCAACTTCTTTTCAATTTAACAAACTTGTTTCAGATGAATCATTCATGCTTTCGAAAGTAAATATTTGTATTGCGAGTCAAAGAATGTAAATGAATATTGAGATAGTCCGCTTCAGGGTGTGCACGTTCAATGTGTTAACCTTTGTTCAGGCAAACATCTTTAAGAAGCACAGTAAAAATAGTTTATGAAACTGAACGGATGTTTTATTTATTCTTTATTAAAAAATCTCTTTATTCCTATATGAAATGCAATAATAAAAGGGCATTTCTGTCTTAACAATTTGATTAAATTTTCAGTCTTTTAATTTTCTTCATTGACAAAATATAATGCAATATTCTCAAATGTAGTCCTTTTTGCTGTGTTTCTTCACAATGTATAAGTGAAGGTACTATAATGCAGGTAGAAAGCATCTGTCAAAGAGCTCCCATTGACATTGATAAAAACATTCAGGATAAAAATCACTGAACAGCAAAGGTGAAGGGGAGTACAGTTAGACATGTACAATTCAGAGAGCATAATGAATATAAGATTAAAAGAAAGCCATTCATTGACATGCTGCAGAAGGTGAAACATTTTCATGGAACTATAAATACCTCGCCATGATGCTGCAAAGATATAGAGAACAGAGTAAGGAAAAATCAGTAAAGAAGAAACACCATACACAACAGGAGACAGAAACACTGACACACAGTCCTTACGCAAGGACAAGCGAATCAATCAATCCAGATCAATCCAATACCACACTGATGTCAGCCAACAGCAAGTCAGGCACCATCACATGACACCAGAAAACTGAAGAAATGAGACCATGCATTTAAATGTCATTTTACAGGGTATACCATCTGTACATGGATTAAGAGAGATTGAATCCTAAAAGGCACAGGAAAAGTGTGCAAGTGAAAGAAAAACAAGAGACAAACAGGAAAGAAGAATCACACAGTTTCTCTTCCTTTGGCATTCACACATCGAATGATCAAAAACATGACACACCAAGACCAAAAACATATCAAAACATGACGACGAACAAGATACACATAAAAATACATGGTTGAGTAGTCACAAAGAAATTGATCTGAATTGATGTTTCTGGCCTTTCTTTTTTAACCCATCCTTGGGTGAGGTTGAGAACAGCAATCAACACAAAATATTGCACTTGCAATTTCAAAGTCATAACAATGTTATCAATATCAATAATGCTCAAATAATTGTGACTTAACGCTTTAGTGAGTATTACAATATCTAGCTTAAAGCTTCTTAAATGTAAATACACTAAACAATTCTTCACAAGTAAGAGGAATAAAAATCCATTTCCTAAAACACCTTTAATAATTTCAATATAAAAAAATTGAATAAAATTGTGAAAAAGTACAAGCAAAATTCATTTGTTTCAATGAAAAAAATATTACTTGAGATGAGCAATGTCTTGTTTACTTTACCTTCATTTTATTACTTCAAGCTAAAATTGCTTACCATGTTATGACATTCGAAACATGCATACGCACATCGTAAATATTTCAAACGAAAATAAATAATATTATAAAATACGGTAAATTAATTTTCATTATTATTTTCAGGATATGAGAATTTGCTGATAAAAATTTCCATACAAAATACCTCTATATATATTCAAACTTTCTTTAGAAAAATAGCTGCTCGGATGTATACTCCAGATGTTTGCATCAAAACAATTAATTACATAGTCATCTGATGGTGCCGTACTTTCATTATGAAGTAATTCACAAAAACAATTTTCAGTTAGTTTATAAAAAATTAATCAACTATGAACTATCCAAATATAAGATTTTAAATATATATGTATGAATTGAATTGAATATGTATTGAAATATATACTTATACAGAAAATCTTACAAAAGTATAGCAAATGACAAATACATTTTCCAATATCCTCCCAAAAAAGCTTGAAGATCAGTTCCTTAAAGATTAATAACACTCAAAGCTTGCTGCTTTATACAGCATTTGTTTAGTTACAAAAATTGCTACTGAAATGATTGTGAACTTTGTATTGACATTCACAATTGCCATCAGTTTAGTCACATTTGCCTCAACGAAGACCCTTGAACCTAATTATGAAGACAGCTATCTTCACTCTTCAGCATGTACCCACAGCAGACTGAGTGGTGCTGAGAATTATCTGAGACAATTTGAAGAAGAAGAAGAAAGAAAAAAAAAAAAAAAAGAGTCTTCTATTAATGATGCAAATCCACAAATTCAGTCAGAACTAAACATCATATTGAGTGTCCCAGCTACAGGTGGCCAGTTTCTATTTTAAATTTGAATGACAAGGAATCTGGAATGTAGAATATGCTTTTAACATATCAGAACATTTGCCCTTCCCTTCTTTAATGACATCTCAAACCTTTTCTCTTCATCACAAAAATGTCACAGCTCAGAAAGAAAATGTTTATTATTGACCTCTTTTTCATTTTACCATTTGATATAAAAGATGAATAACAAACAATTCATCTTTTATATCAAACCTAAATTGATTCTTATTCTAAGTTTATAATCATCATGTCCATCATGATGCTCAAAGTAGGAAACTCATTTCAATATGTAGACTTGCAGATTTTTATTTTAAACAGGTTGAAAATTTGCTCTGCTGTTAATTTTAGGTTCTTTGACTAATATATTTATTAATTGTAGGTTAATAATATCATATTTATTTTATTCACTTTCAATAATTTTTAAGATACGAAGAAAATTTCTTCAATTTTAAGATTTTGCTGCCTTTATCTCATGTACTGAAATACATTTTCTCCTTTTCTATAAATGAATCTCATTTACCAATTCATTGCAATCCCTCATTACAAAACAAATCTAACCTTTGGAGGTACAATGAGGAATTTATACATCTTAACTAAAGCTTCATAGTGAAAACAGCAAATCAAAGCAGCATATAAAACACACATGTAAACACTTAAAATACTAAACTGAATAGTGATTCCATTAAGAAGAAAATACATGTACACAAAATTACCCAGTGAAACTAGTGTTTAAAATTGATTCATTGTAAGCAAATGTTAGTACTTCAATGTCCAGGTTTGTATTATAAATTTTGAAACAACAGGAAATTTGTCTTCTCAACCATTTCAGCTATGTACATAGTCAGCTTTAACACACATTCTTCATCTGTAATGCTGTTTGCATACAAACCCTGTTAAAAATATTAGTGAAAGCTCAAGAAAATGCAAATACATTTTATACCTGGGATTTATCTTCCTCTTTAAAACTGGCAATCACTTCAAAAGAACTTTTGGATGATACATTTCTTGTATACTGAACAAGAGACTATAAAACATGCAAATGACAAACTTATTATAAACCATATTAACACTAATAATAATTATTTGAAAAAATATGCAACCACTTACAATTACCCTGATAAGCTTTTCAACTATTTTACATCAACACAACAGTTTTAAAATATTACTTGACTAACCAACAATATATGCGCAAATATAAATTTTAGAATGGTCAATCTCAGCACTAACACACCTCCAGACCAACAGAAAGACATGATTTACCCCACAATGATCATATTCATAATGAAGTTAAAAATAAGATAGCATTATAGGAAAAGCTAATTCTTTCATAAAAAGGCAACTTCATGGCAATGTAACTGATTGTCACACAATATTACTGAGCAATATTCCAATTATCAGACGTAGTATGTTCTATAATTCTCTTACAGCAAAACCCTGAATACATGGAAAACAAAATAAAATTAAAGATAATAGTTTTCCAATACCAAGTGATAAATATTTTTACCAAAAAAAGTAATAGTATAAATCATAAAATTGTACACGATAATACTTTTTTCCGTGAAATTTAAATATATAACTTCACGGGCAATTTTCTTGCCAGGAACATAATTGAAGACTTACCTTAGGGTCATAGCGTTTGTACTGGTCCAATCCAAGGCCTGTAAACAGAGGTGCTTATTAAGGCATGTGCTAGATGTTAAGATTATCTATCTTTCTTTCTTTTTTAACACTATTTCATAATATTTATCACAATATTATTTCTTATTGATTTATATACATACATGAAAGCACATGCAACAAACACATGCATTACTGATATTTTACGTTTCACACACTACACGCACAGATCAAAAGAGCAATCACAATATTTAAGTCTCAAAATACACAAAATATTTGATATTACATCTAACTACCTTTCTTCTAAACAAATAACTACAAGGAGGAATTTATCATTGAAAAATACTTGTTGAATATCAATAATTTGCCTTCTAGATACCAACAATGTTTATAACACTTTTAAAGAATTCTTTTGATTTTCATTTCAATTTTCACCCATTTTATCAGTTTTCATTTGGCGTTCCAACAACATTGATGTAATTGTAAACACAAATATAAAAATAGTCATTTCACTCATTATAATCTCAGTCAATTAAATAATTCCATTTTGCACATTATTTGAGAAAAATAAAATAAGTTGTAACTTATAAGATGCCTACCATCTGGTTGTTTAACACCTGGTGTCATTGATCTCAAGAAATCATCTGGTGTCATGTAAACCTCGTGACTTTCACCTGATGGATGCACCACTTGCAAGGTTGCAAAATAGCGGAAAACTTTATCAGGTGTGGAGTATTGGCGCATGCGGTTTTCATACTCCATTATCTGGTCAACGCACAGAAGTGACACCAAGTTAGTAGGGAGGAAGCAAGTGATTTCCAGAGCAAAGAAAATTTAGTTGAAAACACTCAACACAAAAGCTTAAAATACATGGCACAAGCACACACAGCATTTTGAGCACAGTACCTTCTCCCCACTATACACTGCTCAATGACATTGCAGAAAAAAGAGCAAATAAAGACTGAAAACAATTTTTGCAAAAATACATACAATAAAAATACAGACTGGTCTAGCACAGTGGCTCCCAAAGACAGTAATTTGTGTCCCAATGGTGTGATTCTACAATGAAGGTGGGGTTCTTAACAAATATTCTCCAAAATAAGAAGTAAGTAAAATGGGAAATTCTTAACAGAAGTTTTATCTTTGATCCAGGCTCCATTATTCACTTGAGTTGATATAGCTGATCATTGGAACACATTAAATTCTGAGAACACTACATTAGACAAAGCATCAAATCTAACAATGTAAATGGTAATTCCCATCACAATTCCACATTTATTTCATTTGAATAATAGTTTGAAAAGCAAACTAAAATTTAGTTCTTAAGTAACAGAATGTAGTGTTCTTAAGTAGCTGAATGTAGTGTGTAAGCATTGTTTCAGCAACTACACAAATCACAATGGGTAATCTCTATCAATCACTTAAGTGTCAATACTTGAGCAAGAGAGAAAATAGAACCGAAAAGTAGAAACTGTTTAAATTGAACAAACACAAACAGTTTACTATCTTAGCAGTCTGGATGGTGCCCCATCTTTGAGAAATTGAGTAATGCCTGCTTGGGATAAAGAAAACACAGAAGTACATTTGACCAATGAGATAAACAAATATTTAGAATATAATTTATCTGAAAAAATGATTTGTTATTGCACAGTAGCTTTGGACCAATCCTCTTGCTTCATAATACCCGGATACTTGTGCTCAATCGTTGAAGTGTTGAATCGCTAAGCATCACCAAAGAGAAAATCTACTTTGTTTGGATACAAAAGGAGAAAAATGCAATACATGAATAGATAGAAATGACATACAAACACTGACGGCTCTGTCAGCATTCTTGATGTGCAATATGTATCCCCAGGAAATATTGAAATCTTCTGCCAGGGTGCCAAGGGTGCTGATGACACTCACATTGTTGGTGCTAATGCAAATGTAGGGAATAAAAAGTGTTATTCAATTAATTTAGAATGTATTTATTCCATTTATGTACTGGCATTTATAAATTATCTTAGAATGTATGTACTGCTTCGACAATTGCAAAGAGATTGACAGTGGTCATGACATTGTTTGTAGAAACTAATTCAGAGGTTCAATAAATGACACATATTGTGAATAGCATCCTTCATTAATTAACATTGGTACCCAATATAGCAAACGGACAAATAAAAAACAGATTAGTGTGTTGCTTCATTTAAACAATTAATAGTAGTTTGTTTATATTAAGGTGCAAGTCATTAATTTCAAAGACTGAGTTTTACAAGCAATTAGATACTTAAAATATTTAAGTAACCTCAAATATGTCACTATTACATAAATTAAAATTATCAAGAGCTTCAGTGAAAGGAATATTAACTAGAGTGAAAAATAGCATCAATCAAGACACAACAAAATCCAAAGCAAAAACTAAAAATTAAAAACATGTCAAGAGATTTGGCAAAAATTTCACAGGCAAGAAGAAATTGAACAACAGAAGATAGCATGTGATGAAGCCACAGAAATGTTTATTCAAGAGTGTGAAAGGAAAAGAGAACTCTTCGAGTTGGCTAATTTTGAGACAGTGGCAGGAAACCATTAATGCTACTGAATGTGTACAGATACTGATTGATGAGGTAGGTAATGTTCATTATCAAACAGTTTCTGACAAAATCAATATGAAAATGCAGAGATTACCAGAAATAAAATTAATGGAATTTAATGAAGATTTTTCAAAATGGAATTTTTCAAAAACAAATTCAAAGCTACAGTTCACAAAGATTAACAACTGTTCAAAAATATCAGTAATTGATTGGAGTTCTTCAAGGTGAAGCTTTGAAAGTAATCCAAGGATTCCAGATATCCGAGGAAAATTATACAAGTGCATGGAATCTGCTGGTACAAACATATGATAACCAAATTATGATTATTGAGAAACGCTTAGAAAAATTATTAAAATTTCCTATCATATCTAAAGAAAAGAAATCAGACTCTTTAAGTCAGCTGTATTTTCATATCCAGATACATATCTCTTCACTGAAAGCTATGAAACAACCGACTCAACACCTGGACACTTTCATTATTCATCTAGCTAGGAAGAATTTAGATTACGTGGAACAAAAAGATTGGCAAGAAAGAGTAAAACTTTGGAAGCCAGAAAATATGACAACTCTAGATGAATTTTTAAAGTTTTTAACCGAATGCTCACAAGAATAAATGCTGTTGCAACAAAGCAGAAGCACACCAATGAACTTAAAGACAAATTGGAAAGATAGAAAACAAGGAAATAAAGTTATTATGGCAACAACTCTAGGTATTTGTAACATATGTGGAGGAAACCATGATATTTTTTAATATGAAGAGTTATTAAATCAATCCATAGAAGAAAAAAAGAAAACTTACAAAGCTAAAAGACATTGTCTTAATTGCTTGAAGTTAGAACATATAGCAAAACACTACAAGGGATCTAAATGTTAAAAATGCAATCGCTCTCACAACACATTGCTATAACATGAAGAAAGCAAAATGAAAGAAAAGAATGAAGAGAAATTCAGTGTAAATCATTGCCCTGATTGTCAACATTTACCCATTTCTGACAGAGTGAACTTAGCAAAAGAATGAAGATCACAGTTTTTACTATCGACTGCCTTGGTTTACATTCAAGACATTCATGGAAAAAGTAGGTGTCGTGCATTATTAGATCCAGGATCCCAATCTAATTTGATGACTGAGGATGTGTGCAAGAAATTACCATTAGATCGTTGAAAATCGAGTATGTAGATAGTAGGAGTTGATAAGCCAAAACAATCGTCTATTACTCGTGAAGAATCACACGTGTAACACTTCATTGAATAAAGAGTTCAGAACATGTGCAGAATTTCAAATTCTACCATCTATCACAGAGAGATTACCTCAACTGGAAATAGATATGGACCAAATTTCAATTCCAAAAGGCATTCATTTAGCAGATCCCACATTTTATAAGCCTGGAAATATTGATTTATTAATTGGTGCTGGACTTTTTTAGAAAATAGTAATTGGTTAAATCAGAAATCCTATCAGTGGTTAACTAGCTCTACAAAATACACACTTAGGATGGATCATTGGAGGCAAAGTTAATGAAAAATGAGAGAATCCTCTATTACGTGCATGAAAATTTGTAATGAAGAATTATTTCAACAACTAGAAAGATTGTGGATACAAGGAACAATAATACCAGAAATTCAGTGTTTCACAAAAAAAGACAAAAAATGCGAGGAACAATTTGCTAAAACTGCTATTAGAGATGTATCAGGTAGATTTGTTGTTCAATTACCTATCAGACAAGAAGTTATTCTTGGTAATTCAAAAGAACACACACAAAAAATATTAGAATCATTATTGAGAAAGTTTTCTAGGCAATTACAGCTTAAAACGGCTTACATACATTTCATAGATGAGTATCAAAAGCTTAGACACATGACTTTAGTTGATGAAAAGGAAAACCAAGTACATGCAAATTCATATTTTATACCTCATCAAGCTGTATCACGCCTAGAGAGCAAAACCTCAACAAAACAAAAAGATGAAAAAAAAATTGAATTTGATGCGTTTGCAATAATGTCAAATGGCACTTCTCTAAACGATAAACTTGTGACAGGACCTAACTTACAAATATACAAAGAGATCTTTATATTATTATTAGATTTCGCAGTCATAAATATGTCATAACAACGTTTAGACAAATTCTCATACATCCTGAAAATAGAAAATATCAGCAAATATTGTAGAAAGAAGAACCTAAATCTGATGCAAAGGTATATCAATTAAATACACTGACATATGGCACAGCATCTGTCCCTTATCATGTCATGAGGTGTTTGAATGAACTGGTTAATATACACGAAAAACAATTTACAACTGCACCAAAGATTATCCGTGAAGATTTTTCATGGATGATTGTTTGACAGGTGGAAGTACGATAGAGATGTTTGTCTACAACAACAATTATAGAGCATTTTACAGAATGGAGGGATGCTGTTATGCAAATTGAGAGCCAAAAATAATTTTCCATGAAGCACTTCCAAACAGAAAAGGATATAAGGAAAGACCATACAAATTTGATTTACGGGTTTTCAGTTTTAACTAAGTAATTTTTACAAAACTTCTGCACAATATTAATATTTTATTTATTAAGGCACTAAATGTGCACAAGAACTTATTTAATTTCAAGTTTCAGAATAACACCAAGACTGCTGCTTTTATAGAATCTAAATTTGTACTCCTCAGCCACCACAGCCTACTGTACAGGCTTCTGGCTTCAACTCGGTAGCCTCACTTGTCGTGAAATGAATTTCTTGACATTTTCAGATCATTTATTAATTTTGGCATCAATTATATTTGTAGACCATTTCACACAATTTAAATAAAATTAAATGAAAGTATGACTAGGATACCTCTTACTAATTTAGAACATTTTTAACCTTATCTTCCATTAGCAATAATTATTTTGTATAAATAGCAAAACAAAATTGAAATGCCAAATCATGTGTGGTCCTATTCATTAGCTTTGTAGATAGCACCAAAATATGCTCGGAAAATCTTAGTGTGAATTTTGCACTCTTTTTCCCAATTTTTCTCCATGATAGAAATCATTTTCAATAAAGGGCTGCAAAAGATACGAGACAACAGCTAATCTGCTGCATTCCCTGTATTACATGTGTTTGACTTCACTAAGTGCTGAAGAAAGGTCTATTTGAAGCAATACCTCTGTGCAAGTTTCAAAGACTTTTATAATTGCCTCAAAGATTTTCTTGGTTTTTAACGATTCTTCAAAAAATCCTGACATTTCCTACACTTTTCCAAATCATTAAAGTTCCTGGATTCCTTCCATTTTTCCAGAAAATTATCACTCTGTTAGTTGTCATTCACTGTTCTGTGCTGAAGTCCTGTACTATATTTGTGTATGAATTGGTGTGTGAAGCTTTAAAAACTTCTATAAAAATGGAACAAAAACTGTTGACAACTTCCAGGACTGAGACATATCTTGGTCTGCTTTTTGCCCAATTTCTCCAATAACATTTTAAAAAATTTTGGATGATTCTGAGGTTTGCTTCTAAGTAATAAATATTGCATTCAACATCCATAATTTTACCATTTTATTTTCCTATGTAAATACATTAATTTATTGCTAAATATTAAAATACCTGGTTATATGTAGACCTTGACCTACTTAAAAGGTGAAATGTGATTCTCTTCTTCACAAAGAAATATTTTCAACCAGTTAACAGAAAAGTTTTTGGAAGATTATGAAAGAAAATTAAAACAATTATTTTCCTATTTTTTTCATTTGATTTGGTATAAACTTCACAAACTCTGTTGAGATTCATCAATATTGGTTTAAAACTTTCAGGAGTTGAACTTCATTGAATTTATCCAACAAAACAAAACAAAAAAACAAAACAAAAAAAAACAAAAAAAAACAAAAAAAAAAACAAAAAAAAATTAACTTCGTCAGAGCTAAAATTGAAGTAATTGTGTGATCACGATAATTTCAGAATAATCATTTTAATTTAATTTTAAGCTTCAAATAAATGAAATTAATAAACTCAATTTGATAAAATCCATTTCCATCAGAAAGTTAGTTGCTGAATCAAGCTTAATTTGTTTTTAGTTTCTGCTTTCATCCAGTTTTCAAAGGGCTCTTAACCCAATATTATGTCTTTCTGTACCTAAACTGTGCACTGGTTATGTATCACAGTTTGAGATCCACTGCACTAGATCATTTTCCACAATTTCAACACAGTTTTAAAGCATTAAGAGCTTTTTAACCATTAATATAGTGAATCTCCCCCAAAATCATACAAATAATGAGTTAGTATTAACGTGGATTCTGGTAAAGAAGGATTAGAGGCTATAATTCCGAAATAGCAAACTATTTCAAAGGAAAGTATAAAATTACGATATAAAATTACAGCAAATGTCATTAGATTTTCCCCAATATAGCAGCACACCAACTACCATGTTACATCATGCCTTTCTAAAGTGTACAACACAACTATACCATAGCTAGTCTTTGAGTAAGGAAAGTCATCACAGAAGAATGTTATTATCAAAATCACCACACCACAATACAAATTTTATTAGAATTGAAACCACATTCAACACACACCACTGGTGGTTGCATGCTGCTCAAAATCCCTAGCTTACCATCAGGCTGCTTAGCGCCTGGGGATATTGATCTCAGCAAATCATCTGGGGTCATAAATACTTCCATGTCATTTCCACGAATTATTTTGACAGTGGCAAAGTAACGAAAGATCTTATCTGGTGTAGAAAACTGACGAATCCTGTTTTCATACTCCATTATCTGTAAATGTGGCAACATGAAAAGTGCAACACAAATGTAAGCCATGATAAACAATTAAAAGTAGTTAAGGAAAAGTTACTATGCCACTTATTCACTCATTAGTAAATCAAGGAAGGACTTTATCTTAAAAATAAATTGTGGATTGAATTAGAATGTTAGCTTGATTATTTCATCTATCTACTTAATTATGTATTAGAAATACAGTTCTCTACTTCATTCCATTAGATAACAGAAAATATAAGATATTACTAGACAGAATACCAGGTAGATCTAAGAAAGGAGAGAATAAACATTTGTGATTCCATAGTTTATCCCCTTACTTTTATCCACCACAATAAACATTGATTTTTAACAGTATAAAGACCCTACTGTGAAAATGTTAATCCGTACAAACCAACCTCGTCCAGATTTCTGATTTCAATTCTGCAACATTTAATATCTAGAAATGTCTTAATTCAGTTTCTTTTTTAACACATGGTTCTTAAAAGCTATGGAGGCTTCCTCCATTACAGTGTTTGAAGAGGTCAAAAGAAATTACTTTTAAATCTTATTTTGAGACAAAGATAGTTGTATATTTGTATCATACCAGGTATCACATAAAATAAACTGTTTTCATGACTACAATTCTCAACTACTTGAGCACATGCAATGACAGCAATTCTAAACCTGGTTAGTTAATATATCGATCACTTGTAGATTCTATAAAATATTTCGACTTGTATAACAGAATTACAATATACAAGTGTAACTGACAATTTATCACAAGGTGAATGAGGGAAGATACAATACATTAGCATGCTTATTAACTTTGTAATTTCTTTTTGTCTCAGTACGTTTATTATTAATATTTTTCATTTTTTTATCGTACTACACAAATCAAGATACAGTAGAAAGTTGCCCTTTATTTCTATTGCATTCTTTCTCAAATACCTTGCGATCTCGAAATCCAATTTTTTCTTTTTCTTTCTTCTTTTTCTTTTTGGTATCATCAGCATCCGATTCTCCACCATCATCTGAATCGGAGGTGGCAACTTCAACATGATTTTCAGCAACCTGCGTTGCAGCATCAACTCTTGGAAACAACCCTTCCTTCAATCTGCATAAAAGTGTATATAAAATTAATCAGAAAGTAGTGAAGAATAAGAAATTTAAGCTACAAAATATTGTAAATAATATACTCACGCTTCCCAGTTCAGACAGCATCCCACTAGCGTAACAGCCAAAAAGATATATAATATGGACTTGAACTTGGTTTCTGGGACCGGTCGATGGCCAAAATTTTGGTATGGACCTCTTTTCGGTTTAGTGGCCCTACTACTGGATTCTCGGTTTTGAAGAGGTGCAAGATGAAGAACACTTCCGTGACTTCCCGGGATGAGACACCTCCGGATCACATAACTTCGAGCAATGCGCGTCCCAGCTCTCGCAGCACACCACATATTCACATTGAAAACTGCAACACAAATGACGTTGACTGTATACTCGTGGAGTGACAGCAAGATTCTGCTCGGCGTGGTCTATAGAAGGTGACTTTTTAACCTTCACGCGTTAGGTGTCATGGCTAAAGAACCAACGCGGCTATGAAGGCCACTAATAGTGTACCTATAAAAACCAACGGTCAAGGGCGCCTTCCATTTATTTCCCACGATATGCCATCTCCTTCTAGCACAGTATAAATCATCCCATGTCAACGAATTTTCTACAAAACGCCATTTAGGTGCTCAAAAAGTGAAGGTTGAATCAACATTCTGCTTTTATTTCCCCTCATACTTACGTGATAGTCTTGCCTTTTGTGGTTCAATTAGAACGCACGATGCCACTGGCGACTAATATTATTCTTGCAATAACCTCGCGGCAATGGCCTGGCCACCGTCGGTGTCAAATTGACGCAATGTTTTCTTCCCCGATTGCCTTCCTGCTATCAGCGCTTACTGTGATACGTTGCTGAACTAAATGTGACAGAGCGCGTTATTTGACTTTACTTTTAACTTCAATCCACGTCGGTAGTGACGTGATATTACATTGGTAGCGGCGTAAGTTCCATAGGGACTGCCATGACCATGTCCGCCCCCCCCCTCGAGAATCTGATGCCTCGTGAATAACGTTATACACGTGATAAACGTAATAAACGTAAACTTCAGTGTTAAATGAGGAACTCTTTCTTACAAAAAAAAATCAAATCAAATAAACAAGTTATTTGCTGACAGTTTCTTCAACAATATTAGTGCGTTACAGCTTTACATTGTATGCCTAGTTTCATTTGCTTAAATAACGATACCTATTGCGGCAATTGCTGGTAGTAACTTCGATGAAGGTTGTGCCTTTCATGAGCATATGACGAATGTTTAAACACATCTTTAAAAATGAGTGAGAAACAGAAAAAAAGTGAATATTTAAATAAAAGGAAGAATCGCTGCGTTCCGTGTTCTGCAAATTCGCAGTTTTATTAAACTCCAGAAATAACACTTAACAATAAAAAATTACGAAGTAAAATGGGATAAGATCGTCGATAATTTATAAATTTTATCCACTGAGTACAAAAACCGATGTGGTTGAAAAATAATATTTCTTCTGTCGGTGAAAAATTTGTAAAATGCGAAGAAAATATCAAAATTTAAATTTAAAATTATACCATAATATTGCAAAAATAATAATTTATTTTTTTCTATTTTTTTCTATTTTATTTCTTTCCTAGTGTTTTTTCGACCATGACGATATTAGGTTTAAAGAATTAGAGCGCAAACCATTTGTCTTCTTCATATTTACTCGCTCTTTAATTTATGTTCTCGTCTCCTCTTTTTCTACATCGTTTATATAGTATCTTAAACCGGTTAATAATTAAGCTTCAAGCCTTCAAGATTTTCCATCCCACTCCTAATAGAAGCTTCTCCTTCCTCTCTCCGTGCAACTGGAGAATACACTGTTTTCTTGTTCTTTCGGCGGCCTCCTTTTAAGAAGGAACACAACTAAATGTATTTGATTTGATGTTGATTTATTTAGTCAAAAAACAGTAGAAACTATGTGACGTACGGAGGAGAAAACCAACTGCGCACGTAGATAGGTAGAACTTTTCATGTTAATGATGAAAACACACTAAAGAGGAAAATGGGGATAGGAAGATCTCGTACTCCATACCCTAAGGGAAGAAAGAACTGGCTTCACAAATAGACAGACGCAGCTCATATTCGCAGACAAGGTACAGGTAGTGCGACCAGAAGAAATTGCCCTGCAAGTTTGACGGCAGTGAGACGCATCCCCAACACCAATCTTCTCCTGCGCAACGCTCGAAACGCAACCAGAGGAAATCTACATTACTGACCACCTTCAAGAGTATAGCCTGACATCAAAACGACAACTGAAATTAGTAAGGTTAAACGAAAATATGGAATTGTGGAGCGGTTGAAAATTGCCACCTGTAATGTGAGAGATTTGACTCGTAATGAGAAATGATTAATCATGCAACTAAACAGGTTTAGTGCAGACATATGAATAAAAACTGAAACAAAAAAAAAAGTTTGAAAAATGAAAGATTCAGCTGACTAAGAGACTATTTATTATTTTATAGTGTGGTCAAACAAAATGCAAGAACAGCTGGTTGTTCAACTCGAATGTCGAAACAGACCTGGAAAAATAAAATGCACAGCTCAACTTTATGAGATAATAATATAAATAAGATTAAAAACTACTAGAGGCCATCTGACAACTTTAGGGATATATGCTCCTGAAGAGTGGAAAATGGACGAAATTATAACTCTTTAAGAAACATTTGCAAAAATGTGTAAATTCAATGATCAAGAGAGATTATATTATCATAGCAGATGATTTTAAACCAAGAATTGGGAACCAATCAGAACAAAAAATAATAGGATGTAACGGAGAAAGGATCCTGAATGAAAACGGAAAAGCACTAATCAATGGGCAACGCCAACTAATTTTGATACACAATAAATTGCAAATCGTAACATCTATTTCAAACAAAGATATACACAAATATACAAACGAGCGTCCTGAGGCACAAAATAAATAATTGATTTTAGTAAATTATAAATCACCTCCAATATTAACCGATACACGAGTTTATCGAAGTTAGTCAGAAACTTCGACATATTCTCAGATCACTTCCTGGTACAGGTGCATTCCGTAAATATTCTCGCCAAATGGATTTAAAAATATAGAAATCATAATATATAAAAAACTATTTGAAAATCCCAGCATTTTATTACTAGTCATTGAGAGAAAATTATACTGCTATTGTTAACTGAACTATTTGGATCGTAGAGCAACCATTTTAAATGTAAATGAAGAATGGGAAGACAGTCGTAACAAAAACTGCTAGAGAAGTACTAGATGAAAGGTGAAGGGGAACAAGGAAGGAAATAAAAAAAATTGAAATGATAAAATACAAACACTAATCGAAGAAATTAATATTATTAACGATACTTGTAATCAATATCAGACTCAGACAAAATAAAATAGTTTACAAATAAAAATGCACTTAAGTAAAATGAGAAGTGAAAGAATTAAATAGGGAATGATGGAACAGATGTATTAACGGATTAGAATATGATGTGAATATTACCCAAAATAGAGCACATAAAATCTTATAACATTTAAAAGCTGAAGAGAAAGACCCTTTGCGCTTAAATAACATCTCAGAGAAAGAATAATTCAATAATTATAAAATATTATGGTCGTCACGTAAAAACGAAGAGGAGGAGGAGAAAACAGCCTAGGAGAGTCTGCTTATGCAGACTCAAATTGAATGCACGAAACTAGAGTAAGAAATCCACACACTTCAAAACAAGTGATCTGGAAGTGATGGACTAAATACAGAATTATTTAAATATGCACCTTAAAAGGGATTAATTTAAGATAACTATCTATACTATGTGTCTGTTGGAATATCTGCAATATCCCAGATTATTTGAAGAAGGCAACAATCCACCCAATATTCAAGCAAGGAAATGTAAGTGACTAACAATTACAGAGGAATTAGTCTCCTGAATACTGCATAAAGGACATATAATCACATGAGAGCTAAATAATATAAACGACAGACTTTTGTCAGAAACACAAAATGGATTCCGTAAAAGAATTGTACATTGGCTCAGCTTGTACATTGGCTTTACAACAACTACTTAAAAAAACACGTGAATACAATATACCTTCATACACTTGTTTATAGACTTTGAAGAAGCTTGTGATAGAGTCTCCAAAAGCGAAGTATGGTCTGTAATACGTTTAAACGGATACCCCAATTTCATAATACGTATTTGAAGCATCTATTCATTCAAACGCAAATATAACGCTCCATTTTAAAGTGAATAATATTATTTTAAATAAATTTTATTTAGAGATAGACAAATAAGTTTTAGCTCAAACGATTATCTCTAAGTAGCTGCCCATCATCCTTAGAGAATAGGAGAAAACTATAATCTACAGATTACTACAAAAAAAAAAAAACAACGTAAGCCTTAGCATTCCAAGGTGAAAATTATCTAAGATGTAAAATAGTAATTAATAGTATCTGTGTTAAACAAGTAAAGTACTTCAACTACCTATGATTCAATATTTTATGCAGCCATAAAACTCTCACTAATATAAAAATTTATAAATTTCTGAAAATGGGCAAATAATACGATAGACAGACAGAAATCACGTACAGACTCAGCTGAAATGCTATAAAACAATGGCAATAAACTAATGATAACCTATGCAATTGCCCGATATTTCTGTCTACATGGTAGATAGCGGCTGATAGGGAAGAGGAGGTTTCGTTATCCAATCAGACGCTTCAAATTCTGAGGGTATCACTGCAGAGTTCCCAGTACTTATTAAGAAGTAAATGAAATCAAACAACGTCAAACAACTGAAAATTGAAGAGCACCATTAAGCTGAGACCGACCTCTTGTTTTGGCATTATGTGAAACGTCACAATAAAGTGGAACTATTCTATACTTCTTTAGTTATGCATCGTGTATGCACTTTTGTATCGTCCTCTGTTGCGACTTGTTTCTTGATCCAGCTGCAGTTGTGATCTAATGCGAGAACGACCTCATGACCATGTGCCACTCGAGTAAGTGGCAATATCACTCTACCACACCCCCAACTGCCAAGTAAACAAATATTATTCAGACAAAAGATGTGTAGAGTGGGCCCTCAACATAACAAATAAGAAGATACGTTTCACCTCTGAAATGAAATTTCTTAGACCATTACCAGGCTATTCAGTACTACATAGACAATAAATGAAACTCAAACATCAAAGATTAATTAATGATATTCAACCTAACCTACAAAAATTGACACACTAAACAAGAAAGGACATTGTCACTTAATGAGAATGCCAGAAATCCTTTACAATTACAACCTAAGGAAAAGGGAGTAGGGGGAGACGAAAAGGGCTATATAAAGATATTCTTAAGGTGGAACGTGCCAAAAGGCTCACTCCATGATGATGCTGATGATGATGATTGTATTAGTTTCTTAAATCAAGAGGTATTCTAAAATATGTAAAATGTGGTCGTTTCTTTACATGAGGACAACAAACGTAACGACTTCTGCCACATAATCAAAAAGGAGTCGTGAATCCTGAATCCGATTTTGATAGTTTAAATTAAACAGTGTTGAATATTGTTGAATAAATATCAAGGCAATTCTACATGCATGGAGACGCTGGTATACTAATAATTGTGTTGATGAGAGAGAAAGAGAAACTGGAAAAGGTTGTTCAGAGTATTAACAGATGTCACTACAGTGCTTCTGACCGGGAGATCGTAGGTTTGAGTCTCGATGGTGGCAGGATTTTCGACAATAGCTACAGAGCTAAGTCGAATGCAGCCACTGTACAAGGAGAGAGTAGGAGTGTTTGGAGGAGAAACCTACCGGCCGGCTGCTCTGATCGGTTTTCCGTGTTTTTCCGATTAACACCAGACGAATCGGCGGGCCACAGACCGCACGTGATCTTTCCTTCCTTTTCCTTGCCCTATCCTCACCCCTACACACGCAGCAGTTAAGGCGCCCGGAATCATTACTCAATCAATGCATGGGAGAAGACAATGTCTCTTCTTAAACCTGGATATAATTGCTAACAAGTTTACTTTTCGTCACTAAGATAGACACAAGAAAACATGCTGAGGCTATGAATCAATTGAAAACTCACATCATTCTTTCCTGTGGAATTCAGCTCAAAGGAATCGTGCTTCTTTTATTACACAAACCCTTCTAAACTTGGCACCAAGACAAGCTGTGTGAACAAAATGAAGGAGAGAACGCAGTTCAAGATTCAACTGGCTTCGCCTGCTGGTTTTTTTTTTTTTTTTTTTTTTTTTTTTTTTTTTTTTTTTTTTTTTTTTTTTTTTTTTTTTTTTAAGACGCGGAGTTACGTTCACAATTCCTAAATATTTTATTCAGTGAAAACTTCGAATGGTTTATATGAGATCCCTCCGCATTAAAATACCTTGAGTAGAATTAATTGCTTCATGACAAATAATGCATTCTACAACTCTAAACTAGGGTTTGATTTAGATTTCATTGACAAATATAGTTATCATACTTATCGATATCTAAAGGCTCTATACTGGCATTAGAAACTGTTTAGATATAATTAAATTATAGGTGAAGAATTTGAAATATTTCAATAAATAAGAGTGTCTAAATAAAATTCCAAAACAAAGCAAGTGCTAAATCCGGGAAGGATATCAAAGAAAAAATAACTTGTACTTTTTGTAAGCAGATGTAGTCTGTTGTCTCGAATGAAGATTTAGAGAACAGGGTTTTATAAAGAAGGAATGGAGGGTGTAGACCTGGTAGTGAATTCAGCGAGAATATTCTGCCAAGGTGGAGAGACCTTGATGAGCAATTAAGTATGCAGAAGCGATCTGGCAGAGAGACCGTCTGGCATCACATCTTAGAGAGAATGCGATCTAAAGAAGATAAAACTTGAGAGAGGAATCTGTACTTCACAACCGAACAATTAAATGGCATTAATTGTTTTAACAACTTTATTCGTACTAGACTTATCGGAATATGGGGTAAGATTTTTAGCAACGCAGCATGTTCATCAAAAAAGAAAGATGGTAATGTGATAATGATGGCAATGCGTAATGAATCACATAGTAAATTTGTCATCAAATGGCGTGTTCAGCAGACTTTTACGATCTATTGTGAATTCGTGCTGATTTACAGCTTGAGTTAGGAATTTTAAGTGCACTTTTGCAGGCCACCTCAGAAGTCTCTGAAGACTACCACTGTGTGAATGGAAGTAATTTTACATCTTTCCACCTCTTCCTCCTCTTTGCCAAGACCATCGTCCCTTCTTAATCCTACTTCTAATCAATTTACCCTAATTTCAAGTGGCATTCTGATGTTCTCTGTAACGCATTTTATGTTCTTTATTATTTTTAATGCATTTCTTTTCGATTTGAAGTACGTAACGTAAAATAGAGTGCGAATGTGAAGGCTCATCACATCTGTAACACCACACAATTATTTTACAGAATGAAAAGTAATATACTGCCATTAGATCTATTTAAAAAAGCAACGACGTCTCTGTATTGAACTATCAGGGTTATTTTTTTTCTGAAGTAAATACATAAGATAAAAGAAACCTGCATTCAAAAGCTTTTAAAATGTTTAATTTAATGAGGTAGAGCAACTTTATTACTTTCCTACCTCAAACTGTTCAGAATCCGTTATATCTGTACTTGAATTGTTTTTATTGACGATACCGGACATGTTAACTATGGTTATTAGTCCCCCTGTGAATATTTAACCCCCGAGGGGGGGGGGTCCTCCTCCGTTGCAAGGTGACGTCCTGAGCTGCCCTGCATGTCAGTTTGCAGGTTCATATTGTGGCGTCATATCTGTCGCCAGTACAAACGAACTATATCAGCCCCGTGGACAGCGCTGGCGGAAGAGACGCTGGGCTGCACAAAGGCTAGGGAGCAAGGGAAGTTCGTGGGAGGCAACGTGGAGACCCCGGACCCGGCGGAAACGCGTCGGCGGACACTGCGGGTGACGCAGTTCCGTCAGCCTGCCCAGAAGGTATATAAGCGGATCCTGACCTCGCTCGATCTTCTGTTTTCATCTGATTCTTGGGCGCGTCGGTAAGGCGTCGTGTGGGTTGTGCGCGGCGTTGCATTGTAATGCATAGGCGACCGAGGCGGGGAACCGAAGCCGGCGTGCTACGTCGTGACGGTAGGTGCGGCATACTCGCTGGTATGCTCGCGTAAGGTACTGGTGCATCACACCGAACATGGTAATTAATTATCGGGTCAGCGGTGGTGGTAACCAGGGAAAGTTCCTTCTTGTAACGGTCAATTTATTTGTTAATATTGTATATAGTATTATGGTGTCGGAGTATTTTATTTCTAATAAATACTAAATATTTACAAGCCGTTCACGTCTGTAATTTATTGCCCCGGCAAGACGCCACAATATCTCCCCCAGCGTTGCACCGCCTCTGCCAGGACAAGCTTTAAGCTCTCAACTGCTCTCTCGGCATTTGTGGTAGTGTAGTGCGTGTAAGCTTATGTAAGTGTAGCGAGAGGATAAAACAACGAAGAGGAAGTATCTATAGGGCCCGTTGTCCTTTGTTAGGTGTGTACCCCGTCAATCACCAGGTATTGATCGGAGAATTGTCATCATTCATTGCATTAATCCAATTATGATATTATATTGGTCTGCAATGATCGGTATCTCGTGGCATTATTTTTTATATTTTGTACGTTATTGTACCTTACTAATTATAATAAAGCTGCGTTTCTCTACTCATCCTTTGAATATTGCTCCTACAATCAGTGTCAAATTTCCATGACGATGATGAAGAGAGGAAACAAATGACAAAAAGTGTAGTAGAATCTTACGAAGGCTACTAAGGTTTGGACGAATTTCTAGAAGCAGTTACTGTTTCCATAGTGCATGAAAGCCACGTTCTCGGTGCTCGCCGGCGGAACAAGAATAACGGAAGTGAAGGGTCACGCCTGCGTCAAAAGGCGCCAGCAAGGGCAATTACGGAAGGAATAGACTACGCTCATCTGTTGCCCTTTAAAAACCAACACCCCCCTAGATACGTCTGGTAACCTCACTTTACTTTACATTTGTTAGTATTGCCTTCTTAGGCGGCCATCTTGAATGACGGCTAAGGCCTTGTATATCTAGGTGTTGTTGTTAAAAACTGCATTATTATGTATGGTCTCTGCGAGTTCGTAAACATATTTGTGAGCAGATGTTTCCCTTCGTTGTCAGACTAAAATGTCGGATAATTCATTAAAATTAATCTATTTCCTTTGCAGAGGACAACAACTTGAAACCTTTCAAGTAAATAAGTATTAAATGTAATAATGAACATTGTATCTTGGTTATTCATGTAAATAGTAATAATTTTCCATTGTAAAAAGTGTATTGTGTACAAAGTATAGTATTGTACATGTAAGTATAGTAAAAAGTGTAGTTATGTAAGTCCCTTATGGAATCACGCTTTTTTAAATAAATAATGTTTATTATTAATTGATTAACCTGGACATAAACAGTTATCATTGAAAGGCATTTCACTTCACGAATATTCACACTTTCGTTTCTAGCAATGAAGTGTCTGACGTCTTCATATTCCGAAGATGATCGAGTGCCGGTCTCGGGAGCTCGACTGAAAGCACTTGCCTTCCGAGAGTGCAGCTTCGTCCATCATGCCTTACGATAACATTAACTGTTGCTAGAAATGTTTCCAAAGATATAGTATTCATCGCAACATACGAAACTTATTCATTTCTTCTCTTCGTCACCAAAGTATGCTCGAGGTGAAAGCAAAAAGAGACAAAATCCAATCGAAAGGAACGTAGATGAAAAGGGGACGTTGCGATGGGAGCTGTGAGGACGACGCACAGTGAAGACTGGTATGAATGTGTAAGAGTTGGGACGGCATTCAGAGCTTAGGCTTCGAAATAGGATATACAATTGCGTAGGAATTAGATCAGAGGGGAATGAACAGAGACAATGGGGTTGAGTTGAATGAGGATGAAAGAAATGCTGAGGACGTTTCAGAGTTATGATTGGAAGTCCGAGAACATTCTGCTAGTACCAGGGGTTTTGAATGATGAGATGAAATAAACGTTATATGGACGACATAATGAATGTATGCGTTGATTTGGAACAACAAAGATCGCTACTCCTTCCTTAAACAACAAAACGTTTAGTGTTTCTGTTTTTGACATACTCGTATATAAATAGAGAGAGAGGGGGGAATATGTATTTCTTTCAAATAAACTGTTCATTCTACATTTGTGCGTTCGTTATTCACAGAACAGCATTGCTGGCAGAGTAATATTCAACCCGGGAATCGGGTAATGACCACAAGTTTCTTTCAGAGGAATATTGCGAAGCAAAACATTTTTAAAGCAAGAAATACCATTATGTGTGACATTTTGAGAAATTAATGAGTAAATCTTGATTCATTATCATCTCAACAAGACGTGAAAGATTCTGATGGAAGTTATTTTTGTGATTTTGTGGGCTTTAAAATATAAGATTAGATCATTTAGCATTTGCAAGTGTCCAGAGCCAGGAGAATGAACTCATTGTACAACACTAAGCGGAATTTTTATTTTACTTCCGAAGGGACGTGCCATGGCTTCGTGACTGCCCAAGAGATGCACGCAATCGCTCAGCTGGGGGGAGGGGTGGCGAGTGCACGTGTTCCGGGCGCTGTGCAAGGCTGAAGGCGCGCTGCGCCGGCGGGCGGCCGCGGAGGCGGAGGCGGCGGCAGAGGCGGTGGTGGTGGTGGTGGTTGTGGTGGTGGTGGTGGTGGTGAAGGTGGTGGTGGTGGTGGAGGTGGAGGCGAAGGTGGCGGCGGCGGTGGCGGCGATGGAGGTGGCTGTGGAGGAAGCAGTGGAGGTGGAGG